TTGTGCATGGAGACTCAATACACAACTATAGGAACCTAACGCTTCTAACGTACCGCATCTATAGGAGCGTTTACCCTAATGCTTTTTAGCCAAAAAAAAATCGAAATAAATTTCAATTTCATTTCAAACCTTTAGAAAATAAGTGAAGTGAGACAGACTCGAGCCATGGTCGTTGGCATTATGAGACCAATGCTTTGACCACTCGTCTATCAGATTTTGTTGATTAATAGATGCTAAAGGCGTGTAAGAGCTACCTTGTGTAAGACGGTAAGTCGCCCAAAGAAAATTTCTACGAGCAGCAAGCGTGTTTTCCGAAATCGATGTTTGCCAAAGCATCCATAGGAAATCAGTTTGTCACGGTATTTGTGACCAGCGTACACCTTCCGGTCATATGAAACAGGTCAAAAACTGTTCAAATTCGCCCGAATCCTTTTTTTGTTTTGAATTTCTGTATGGCAAAATAGTGTAAATACCTTTTCGTGAACATTAACGGCAAAGAACTCACCAACACTGGGAGACCGTGAGTTCCTGCCCACCCGTCGTTTTCTCACGGTCTCCCAGTGTTGGTGAGTTCTTTGCCGTTAATGTTCACGAAAAGTTCACTATTTTGCCAAACAGAAATTCAAAACAAACCAACAATTCTTCTGACTGTGTCACCTTGCTTACCCGCCTAGCACTGGTACTTAGCGTAAAACTCAATACTCTTGGTGGTGTGTTTGTAGGCAAAACTGCCACCCGTTCAAAAGGGTTCAGTGTTTTTACCATGGCTGATTCCAACTCTTCCTACACTCTACACAAGCACGTTGATCTGCACTTTGATCACGCTTCTCACGGATCGATTTTCTTCCCTTTGATGTTGCTTTAATGGCGCATTGAAACCTTCTGCTGACACTTGTAGTCTTCGTTGAGTAGTTTTGCCTTCACCATCATTTCCGTGAACATTCCTTCATATATCTCCACGATTGTCACAATATTACCATATGATTCCGAAAGACTCGCCATAATGAAACTGTATTTCATCTCCTCGGAAATTTCACAACCCACTTCCACAAGCTTCTCAAATAATTAATCCATCGCAATCATATGCTCCTCTACATCAGCAGTATCGTCTATCCTGAGCAATTCCGGCGTTTCTAATAAGCTGCAGCTGACTGTTGTCGACAATGTATCTAACCGTTGCCGTTGCTCGTTCTTTGTTATCGTTCCATTCTTCAGATCGGGAATCTTTCGGTGGAAGATCATTCGCGATCACTTGCCACAGTCCTTCCCGAAACAAAACCTGCTTCGTTCAATCTTTCCACAAATCGTAATTGTGAAAATTAAACCACTCCATTCCCGTCTTCAAATCCATGACCATCTTCAACCAAAAACTTATCTGTTCATCGAGCCACTGTTCACTGTTCCAATTACTTTTATTTGGTCTGACTTTTTTTTACTTTTCTGGGCCCATAACCTGTTGGGCATATTCCATGGAAGCAGAGTAAAATAACAAACAACTCCAGTAAATCGTACACTCAAAAGATTTTCAAATCTAAATAGATTAAAAGTTACACTAAATCGCAACGCTCCTGCCCGACGCATAGGTCGGAATAAAAGGAGAGAATACGAACTTAGAATAAAAATGATTTATTCATTGAATGGTTAAAAGTTGCGGTATTCATAGAATGCATAAAGCCTGCTGATCCGTCAGAATGCGTTTTTCATTGATGTCAAGTGAGGAATTTTGAAAAATAGTAAACAAATGATCTGGAAGTCATGGAATTGTAATTTTATTGAAGCATTTAAATTAAATATAATAAGGCTGCCCGATGGCATAATAATCGCATCACGGCAGTCGAGAAAGGAATGTACGAATATAAGTGATAATAATCCCACAATAAGGCTGCAAATAGACGTAACATCTGGTGCAGGACAAGTTTGAATCGGCCCTTCAGATCTAGTCATGATCTTGTAGATTTTGAACGAACGTAATCGGACTGGTTCCTCCTCTAGGTACACCCAATGGCTGTTGATACCGTTTTTGCAGTGTGATTTGTCGGTTCTCTCTGACACTCGCGCATAATCGTATTCAACAACTCATGTGAACCCAAACCCGACGATAACAAACGACCTAAAACAATAATAAAAAGTCAAACTTCTTTGTCAACTCCGAGCTCGACTCCGAGTCAACCACAAACCCTTTCTTACCTGGTTTTGGAATATAATCAGCTTCAGATTGTACTTATTGCCCACGTCATTCTGTTTCACGTACACCTAGTTACTCTCTATCGGAAGCTTCATCGTAGTCGGAATCAATTACCGTGTGCTCCTTCTCAGAATTCAATCCAGAATCACTGGATATAGCGGCATGCTTTCGTTTTTTCATCCACTTCGGAATCAGCCGAATCAGAACGGCCGCTTCTCGACGGAGCCGCGATCCAGAGTTTGATCGAGTTGATTTTTCAGGGTGGATAATAGCTTAAACAATACAATTTTCTCTTTTAGTCTAGAAATGCTTACAATACTATTTGAGTAATAACTTACCGGAGAATGTGACCTTGAGCCCGTTCAACTTCTGGACTTAGTGGGATTTTTTTGAATGCAGAATAAACTGTTTTTTAGCTTTGTATACAAGGAACTAATTACGCGCCATTATTCAGATTAAGTATAGTTTTGAATGAAATTTTAATCGGATCAATGTATAAGCATTGCTTAACCATAAAATTATTAAATTTTAATCTATCTTTGTTTACTAATAATTTTGAGTGTAATATCTTTTTTTTTACACGGTAACCGCAAAATACCCAATAATTACTACAAAGTAAGCATTTCGAGGGAAACTGGGACTACCCATTAAATGAGTAAAATTGTATCCATTTATGAGTAATTACAACTACAAAAACAAGTAGTTATTATTCACTTTTGAATAACAAATCCTCATATATGGGTAATATTTTTACTCATTTAATGTGTAGTCCCAGTCCCTTCAAAAACGATTACTTTGTAGTCATTATTGTGTATTTTGCGGTTACCGTGTAAGACAGAAGACAGCGAATGAATAAAAAATAAGCCCAGTGTTGACAGTCTGCTTTACTCTCGTGTACACTGAACGAAAACATCCGCAATACTTCGAATGAGTATTGTATTGCTCGAGCCCTTCAGCATATGCTTTCGAATTTCGGATGATTGCCTTATGGTTGAAATCGTCATCAGCTGATGAGAATCCATATGACTGTCATCCAAATAAAGGATGATATTTATTTGAAAAATTTCTGTTAAGCCTACAGCGCTCAGAGGACATCAAGTTAAGGATAGGCTAACCTGCAAATGCTTTAGATTATATTTAAAATTAGATTGTTTAAATTTCCATACACAGCAAAAAAAAATGTAATATCAATCAACGTAATTCAAGCTGATGTATGAAATAATGATGTAATAGCAAAAAGCAGATACAATATTACATCAATGGATGTAATTTTGTTCGCAAAATCGATGTGCATCGTACAATGTGATATTACACAACCGATGGATTGACCTGGTTGCAGCAGTTTCGATGTAATATTCAACAACTTTTTTTGCTGTGTACTGAATAGTCATTCCTGATGGATACAAAAATTGTTGTTAGAGGAAATTTCCTCCACCACGAAATATACAAATTTTAGTTTCTACGCTTTACCAATGTTCGTACCACCTCTGATAGCGATGACCATGTTTCCACTTCGTTTGTCAGCTCAGATCTGCAAATGACGTTCGAAAGAATTATTTAAATCATCGTTTTGGATGATTTGCGTTATGGGGCTTAACCAATACCACTTACACTTCAATTTGGGATGACAATGATTCTACATAGAGCATTACGTTTTTCAACTGAGGTATGGTCGCTTCTCGTATCAATGTTCATCCTGTATTCGAGAGGAGCATCATCTGATTTCAAAAACAACCGTCATGCGGTTGCAGCTATCATTCGAAAAAGCGATTTCTATGTTTCAATCTGAATGGTCTGATGTTTCACCCGAATAGAGGATGATGTTTTGGTACAGTGTATGTGACAGCTACCCGCTAGAGAAAAACATCGCAATCTCCAATAGTTCCTCACTTTCCGTGGTCTGTGTGCTGAAAAACGTATATGTATGAAGCCTTTTTTAGCTGTTTTCCAGGATGTCATACAAGCTTCCCCTGTAACGCCTGGTAGATTACCTTTTCTATCTACCACCGAAACCTAGTCTGAACTACTTCAAACTACTATGTTACCTGACTTATAACGAATATACGTTGTAGTCGAGTACCCCAAATACAACATATGGCTCGTCTAATTTTGCATTGCATTTGCAATGTAAAATTAGGCGAACTATACGTTGTTTTCGAAGTACTCGAATACAACGTATATTCCTTATATTTAAGTCAGGTAGGGGAACAGAATTGTTCTGTAATCAAAGAAACATACCTTAGTCCTTTCTACATTTTATTCCTTGTTGATAGTGACAAGAATTGGCTTTGTCCATAGATAGTGATCTTGAAACATGGAAAAAATGAGTTATTTTTCGTCTACGTGATTCCTAATATTCTATTTACTGTTTTCTAGTTTGAAGTGGTTAAGGCTAAGATTCTGATGCATGGTCATTATCGATGTCACTGCTTGATTTTATTGCGAAGGAATCCGTTTTGACTGACAAACAGGCGTGCCTTTGGAGGGTGTTCCAACACTCCAAAGGTTATAAAGAGTAAGAACTGACAATAAGAGTCGGACCCTTGCAATAGGGGCAAGAATGACAACTGTATCAAAACTTCTTTATTTCTCAATAGTGATGGAGTTATACGACATGCACTAAATTAAGGACACGGGGTATACCACAAAAGATCAAATAACTGGATTGAAGATCCGAACAGAGGAAAAACAAAAATCTTCCTTAGAATTGGGATACGTGATTTTTTGGTAAAATTCGAAAAAGGTTTCCCAGAATGCCTTTGTGATTAAAGGTGACAAACTCATGCATCTCTTTTCCAATCAATCTCCCCCCCAGTAATTTCAACCCTGGAGGATCCAATCGAAGGTTGGACGGACAACATATACGGCCTGAATGGAGTGATCACCGGCATTGGCAGTGGAGTTCTGCGCGTCCTGCACCTCGATCCCAGCTACTGTGTGGACGTCGTTCCGGCTGATCTGGTGGTAAACTCCAGCCTGGCTACCATCTGGTACACGGGAACTCGGCCACAGCCGATCGGTGGCCAGGATAAGGTCTTCAACTGTGTGAGCCGAAAGGACAATCCCTTCACCTACGACAATGTGCGGGAGTTTTGCTTGATGTCCAGGGGAAAGATTCCGGCCCTGCAGACCCTGTGGTTCCCGACGATCACATTCACAAATTCGGCCGCCCTGCACTGGTTGCTGCTGATCTTGTACCACTTCATTCCGGCGGTATTTTTCGATCTATTTGCGAAGTTGAGCGGCAGAGAGGCGAAGTAAGTGTTGATAGTGGATTGTGGAATTAGAAGTCCAATCTAAAGTTCTCCCATATTTTCAGGGTTCTATTCCTCTACCGAAAGGTGCAACAGTTTGCCGATGCACTGGAATTTTTCACCACAAACCAATGGACTATGGTTAACACCCGGATGCGTCAGGTGTACGAATGCATGTCGGAGGACGACAAGCAGTGCTTCCCGGCCGATGTCAGGCTCGTCAAGTGGCGGGACTTTGTCCACATCTACTGTCTGGGGTTGCGCAAGTACATCCTGAAGGAGGATATGAACAATCTGGATCAGGCTTTGAAGAAGTTCCGCTTGTTGCGGTTGGGCCACTTTACGGTGCTGACCGTGATGTACCTGGCGATTTGCTTGATCGGTTACGTTACTCTTCAATGCTTTTGGTCTCGATGGATTTCCAGCTACTTCGCCGTTTGAGTGGTTGTAATAAATGACATTTTTTGTTGCGAGCAATGCAATTTTTAAGAAATAGGTCTCGGGTTAAATTTAGCTTTATTTATCCGTAAATCCTCCTCAGGCACTTAAATGATGAGTTAAGTTCCATTTGAAAAGCTTCGAAAATCTTCATCCATAGTCCATTCCAGTGTTGAAAAATATCAAAAAATCAAATCTCACCAAAGCCCAAGATCACACTTGATTTTCGTAGACAAAAATCAACAAGCACACAACATCATTGGGAATTGATATTGATGGTTTGCGTGGGTGTCATGTGGGTGGTGATAAAAGGGCATAAGAAGGTTTGTTTACAAAAAGCTTGTATGCCCTTTTCACATGTTGTTCTTGAGTTATGATGTTGCAGCTCGGCATATCAAGCGAAAAAAACTCAACAGCTGAAAATCTCTCCAAACTGTGGTGAGATTGAGTTTCATGATTTTTACTTTAGACCCGAACGCAACTGAAACTTCCATAGCGACTGGTAGTAGTCGCTTCGTGTCTGCCATCGGTGAAGATAAAAAAGAGATAGCACTATTAAACCTTCTCTTTCTAAGAAAACGAGGTGCAACGGAATCATTTTTGCGTCGATTCAACTCTCAGCTTCAATCGAGGCTTCAACTTTACACGTTGGACCATTCACAATATCAAAGAAGCTTGTAAAATCAATATCAAGCATTATATTTTGCTCCGCGTGATATGAGAGCGGACAAATATCAATTTGCTAATGATCATGCCATCACTAGTCCATTCTATATGCATGAGTATTGGTGGTTCCATAGAGAGGATAATAATAACAAACCTACATTTTTGGCTGGAGTGAAAGTGAGGATATCAAACTTGGCACTTGAAGAACGGATTAATAAAGTGTGCGTGTTATAAACATAAGAAAGGTCAATACCCGCTGCTAGCAATGTTCAGCACGTTATTGGAGCTACGTATTAGGTAGCATTACTACTCCTAAAATTGTTTTTTTTTTTTTTTTTACAGCAATCATTAATCGTTATGATTACTGACATTATGAAAACTAACTCTATTTGTACGCAATTCAAACTGGAGTTATATTTGTGAACAAATCTCCATGACTCTGAAATTCTGCAATGGATTTTAAATCATTGAATATTTTTAATTACAATGCTCGATTTATATAATGAGAACGAGCTGTTCAACTTTTATTGTTTTACTGAAACTCTCCTTGAACCTGGTAATAAGCAGTGCTGTCATGGTAAATTTCGATCTGACTACTAACTGATTTTAGAAGTGCTTGCATACTCACCTCCACTCCACGTGCCTCTTTCAAGAGCGTCCATACTTTTAATATAGGAATATATAACATCATGTATAGTAGTCTGACGCAAAACTTAAATTTTAGCTCAACAGTGCTCAAGTGATTCTAAATCGGGTCTTGGTAAAAACCAGATTTGGCACAAACCATTTGAAGGAAATTATTTACTATGAGAAAACAAAACTTTTTGTTCACTTATTGCCGTTTTCCATTGCATTGTTAAACAGTGCTATAACTTTTCTAAAGAGGAATTCTCTCAGGTACAACTTTGCAGAAGTTCGATTTTAAGACAAATATATAATATAATATAAACTATAGTTTTTAATTGTTTTACAGACTAATAATATGATGGTATGATCAAGCAGCTGTTTCGTGGGCAACACTGTATTCTAAAGTGTGACATAGTAGCCATGATTGTTCTGCTGTATTCTACGCGCCAGAAACACTAATCAAGAACAACATGTGAAAAGGGCGTACAAGCTTTTTGTAAACAAACCATCTTATGCCCTTTTCTCACCACCCATATGACACCAATGCAAACCATCTACATCACCGGAAATGGAAAACTTGCCCCTTCTCGATGATGTTGTTGGTTCGCGTGGGCGACCATCAGTGGGCGAAGAAAGGGCCTACAAAGGTTTATTTACAAAAAAAAACATGCATGCCCTTTTCACATGTGGCTCTTGTAATGTTGTCTGCTAAACAGTTGATTGAGCTTAATCATAAGATATCAGTGACTTGAACTATTAATAACTTCTGTTCCTTACATTTTATCGAAAGATTAATTTTTAAAGCAGAGCGATATGGCGAGTGTTTAGATAGTTATGAACGAAAAATAGTTTTCCCAATTATTTGCAAATAAACATAAAATGGTGTGTGCCCAGTTAGTTTCTTACTTAATGAGTCCAAATTTTGCAAGGCTAATTAGGACCCAATTTGGAACCGTTAGAACTCTGTGGAGTGAAAATTTTAAATTTAGCATCAGTCAATGTACACGTAATTCAGTTCCCTCTCATTGACACTGGAGTATCGGTGGAACTTCTCTTCAATCAGCATGCCCTAATACATAAAAATACTAACATTGAAGAACACCATTCATAATGTGCCATTAGTACATTTAGTTAGATATCGATATCTAAGATGTGAAATACTTTCGCCAACGAGAGTTGAACCCAGGCGGTATCTCTAAATTAAAAAGACTGCTAAGGCGAATATCACCAAAATCATCACTACAGTCGAATCTCCGTTCATGCTTTTTAATAAGTTTGTCTTCCACAGAGGAACCGTGCCTCACCTTGATAAGCCAAATCCCTTATCATTTTTATATGAAGTCGGTGTCAGCGTAGTTCCTGCTAGAAGCTGCCTGTGAAAATCCTACAACCATGTCAACTGAGTGAAGTTCAGACGAGTATCAAACAATATTGTAGTGGTCTACCTCCAAAAATCTCAAACAGCCACCACTCAAAACCGAGTTACTCAATGGAGTCAACTCGGTTCCGAAAGACAACCAAGAAAAACTCCTGTGAGGAACAAAGAGACAGCAGCACAATTGCACGACTTTTATTCAAACTAAAGAGGGCACTACTCAAGTAACCAACAAGCCCGTTAATCGCCCTTTTTGCTATATAAGGCTGCTATACGATTGATATAAAGTTCGGAAACCCTATATTTACCATATATCGTAAAAAGGGCGATTATCGGGTAGTTAGCGGGCTTGGTGGTTTCTAGGGTATTCTCATCCACATCACCAATCCAGCACACCAACGCGTGCACTCACAACCGAATCATGAAACGAACCACCAATGTAATGCCACGCCATCACACGCCTTGTAGCAATGACACTCATTCCGCTCAGACGTGTCTTCTCTTTGGAGCGCTCCCGCTAAGCATTCCTACACACTTGGTTGTGTTACTGGCTATATAATAATGTTTATTAATTTATTTGATAAAGCTCAATCGAATTAACTTTCCAGAGCCGATGATTCTTGATTCTTACGCTATCCAATAGGCGCCCTTCATCAGAACGGGAGCCGCTTCCAGTGGGTTCATTGTATGGCAGTATCGCCAACGGGGAGCAAAGCACTTCCATTGCAGCAATGGACGCAAAACGTGGTCATCACTCACACATTCATCACGAAACGGTTGTTTTCCAGAACTACTGATGAAGAACAATGAGGAGGACCACACAATGGTTGCTACCGAATAGACAGACGATCACGTGACACACATCAAGAGTGGCCTGCTTTTGTCGACAGTCGAGTGAACACTGCGTCACAAGTAGTATATGGCATTAATTTCAGCGATAATATGAATCTCCAACTGATACCAGCAGACAGCGTAACATGAAACGTGACTGTCATGTGCTACAGTCAGATATTAGAGGTAAGGCAAAAACCACAAAGATCCTGAAATTTTGTAGATATTCGAAAAAATCCAAGAATTGCATGAAGTTTTCGGAATTTTTTGTTCAGTTCTCTGGACTTCCTCGGAATTCTCTAAACTGCCCTGAAGTTTACTGTACTTTTCTGAAGTTCTCAAAACTTCGGTAGAGATTTCTAAAATTTTACATTGTTTTCACATTTCGGAAGTTTTCTGGACTACATGAAAATTTGGGAGCATCTCAATAATTTCCCAATATTTTCCTGAAGTTAATGCAAGCTCTTCCAACTCCCAACTGGGATAGACAGCATCCAGCTTCTTGACTTTGCCGATGACATCGACATCATGGCACTGAACATTGAAACGTACATCAGGCTGAAGGCTGAAGCTAGGCGAATTGAACTTGCCATGCGTTGATCGAAGACGAAATACATGAGAGAAAGAGGTTCTATGGAAGACAATGTTAGCCTCCCACCCCGAGTTCAGATTGACGGTGACGAAATCGAGGCGATCGACGAGTTCGTGTATTTGTTTGTAAGCCACATCCTCCGAAAAGGATGCAGCTCCCCCTTCCCTGTCAGCATACGACCAAAGTTCCCACCGGGGTTGGTTACCCGATCTTCCCTAAGGATACTCGTACCCCAGTCGGCGCCGCGGGCAGGAAGGGATAGGAGTTACTGGGCAAGAGGCTAAGGACCACTTTCAGCCAACTAACCATACTTCAATGTTATATCACAGACAAACAGACACAACACATTTGTAACCACATGTGAATACCGCCCTTAATTAGCTATGAAGCTTCTCGTTCGTTTAAAAAGTTTTAACCTTTTTCTGCAGCAACTTTCGCCCTCTCTCGGCAGGTTGAGAGAGTGATGAAAAGCTCGCGCGTGAATTATTCGGTGAGTTCCACTCACATCTCATAACGTTCTCCAGGGCTATTTCAATTTGACCAAAAGATGTGAGAAGGAGGAATCTATAAAATAAGTATTAAATACACGATTTCCTCACACGGATGATTTAGGTAGCCCCACATTGTTGGTCTTTAACAATAGCATATGGAATCCCAATTATTCAGCCTCCAAGGCCATTGGCTTTGTTTGAGGGCGTTGGAGGCGAACCAGCCCCAGGCTGAAAGCCTCCCTAATAAAGATAAATAAATTAATTAATTTGTTTGAGGGAGAGAATTTCTGGTTTGGGGTTTTGAATTTTATTAAAGTGCAGACCGTCACCTCGAAAAGTCGTTACTTGAGCAAGTGCGCCTAAAATCCAGATTTGGCAGAAACTTAAATTGTGAACGGTAATAAGCCAGTAAATCAAGTTCAAAAGTTAAAGCTATTAGAATTCC